TGTTCCAAGAAGTCATGACTGTTTTACCTATTGTCAACGTAGTAGATACATCAGTGTAAAATACCGTGTAAATTCGGCTTCAGAACTGCATAGAAACTATAAATTCTTATATCCATAGTTGATATGAAACTGATAGAAATTAATTAAATGTTAAATTTAGCTGCTTCAAATCAAAAAAAAAAAAAATTCAATGTACATGAAATATTTTTTCCAGAATGCCGTAGCCCAAAGTTTTTAGGTATCTATTACACACAAGTAATTAAGGTAAAGTTATTTTCCGTAGATATTGTCTTTCAGAAATTTTGTTTTCCTTTTATATATAATTTAAAAAGAAAAATAATCTTTTATTTCTGAAAAATTTGAAATTAAATTTTTCAAATTACCATGAAGGCAGAAGGAGTTACTTCCCTTGAAAATCGGAAGCTTTTAAAGTTACTTCCCTTTAACTTGTCAACTTTTCAAAAATGGAACAGTTTTCTAGATTTAATAACTGGATGATAATTAAAATATTCGGAATTTTCTTAATTTTAATTGCGACATTCGGAATCGATTTGTTAACACACACACACACACACCACCTGAGGATGGACATCATTGTAATGCAGTAAATGAGGATGAGAAATCCATTTTAATTTGATTTCACAGGATGAGGATGTGAAATTCTTTTAAATGTTGTACATTATCCTTCAGATTATTATTTGTTGCAATCTATACTATATATTTTGGTCAGTTCAGATAATTTTCATGCATGACACCCAACTAGTGGAGAGTGTCATGCATAAATAGGTGAAAAAAAATTATCAATTCATAAAATCAAAACCAGAATCACTTTTTCATCATGTAATTATACAATTTAGATGTTAAGTCATAGAAATCCATTTTATTTTAATTTGATTTCAAATTGAAGTTATTCTTTTTACACGTGGCTTTTGTCAAATTGTTTTATGAACTGCTAAGTTAAAGGTTTGAACCTGAAGCAATGAATTCCCATGACATATCCACAAACGTAGTTAATTCAAAATGGATTTTTTTTTTTTTGCCTCAAGATGGAAATTAAATGAGGGGGTTTGCTCAAAGGCTTCACCTTCCCCACTGCATTTTAAAGGTTACATCTAAAAGATATCTCAGCTGACTGAAGCCTTCCAAAAAGAGTGAAATGGTTAACCTCTGACATTACCTGTGTATGTTGTACTCTTGTGTCAAACTTACCATGGAGAGGAGTGGGTAGGTAAACCTGGCAGTTAGACAGAGAAAAAAACTAAATAGATGTACAAGCTGTAATTTCCAATAAGTATTTGTATTTAATGTTAAATCTTAATAAAATGATTTATTTACTAATATATACTTCATAGGGTAACTTTCTAATCAATGCATTTCAGTTAAAAAAAAAATTGTTGTATTTATAGGAATGGGCTGATGTTTAGAAGTCCTTGTATTGCTTTTTAATAAAAGGTGACAGTCTGTATTGTTGTTTACATGTCAATAATATGAAAAATAAAAAAAATATAGGGTAACCCCAACAAAACTGTATTCACATTATATACATTTTTAAACACACACACACACACATATATATATATATATATATAAAAAGTGGACACTTAGAGGCGACAGTCTGTTTCATGCTATATACAATCATCAGCACACATGGCCTGACGATTACATATAGCATGAAACAGACTGTCGCCTCTAAGTATTGACTTCTATGTTCACTTTTATATTTACACACGCTCTCTCTGATATTGAGCACTATCCCATAAATATAGCACACTTTTAAGACTATATTTTTCATATATATATATATATATATATATATATATATATATATATATATATATATGATGCAGTTGTGCTGTCCCAGTGAATAAAATGCATTTGTTTCTTTCATGCGTAAAGTGGAATCTTGTGTTTTATATTTAGTTCTGGCCCAGTCTTCCTTTTGGACTGGCCAACAAAATGGCCTTTTTCATTAAAGCACATCTGAAAGACATTTTGATTGTGATTATTTCTCTTGAATTTCTATAAAAAAAACTGAATAATTATCCATGACTCTAACTGGCTGTATACAGAGTTATGCATAACTAACATTAAAATTGAATTTGTAAGACTGATTTAATTGAACTTTTAATAAAAACATAGAAATAATTTAAGATGCACAATTTGTTGCTTCCAACAAACAGTTGAACAGTTTATCTTGATTACCAAAAGTTGGAGTTGTTCAATAAATATTGACCGCCATCTGAATCTGGAATGTCTTGATCGGCACAACAGTTTATAATTTTATGATCTGAGTTCAAACTTGGATTATAACATTATAAACATTAATTATAAATATAATTTATAAAAATTATAAATAGACATTATAATGCAAATTCAAGTCTCATAGAGAGCATTCTGTCTTTTCAAGCCATGCCACTTTTGAATAAATATAAAACCAACCTCAGTGTTGGAACAAAAAGCAAAAGTAAAAAAAAAAAACAGTCAAAAATGAATAAAAACTAACAGTGCTCACAGGTCTAGAGTCACTTACTGTGAGAGCTTTCTACTAAGAAGTGGTTATTATAATGGGGTGCTGATCAGCTTTCAACATAACCAAAAGGCCTTTTCAATAAAAACATTGATGTTTGATTAGATTTTAGGAACTGGGTCAGGCTGAGAGTTTTTCAGCACTCCCTCATATTATTTCTACGGAAAGAAATTAATGTTAGGTTATACCAGATAGAAAACACAATCTTTAGAATAAACTTACAATGGATATTTTGGCAAAGAATTTCAAAGAAGACTATTATATCTACTATTATTAGATGTAAACAAACAATATGACTAAATTAGAATTTTGCTTTCTGATGTTTCTGTAGCCAAATTGTCTATAAAATGGTTTCTCAGGGATTTGGGATGTGAGTTCAAGTTTTGTCAGTAGCTACTATTTATTTCTAATCTTTGCTGCTTGCTTAATTGTGATAAAATATAAAAACAACCTGCACATTGCATTGAAAATCGGATGAAAGGACAACTAGTAAGAAATGAATACAGACAGTGCATCATTTCAGAAATCCTAGAAACTTATTTCTATTATGAGGTATAAACAGTAATGCATATAAGATAAGCTAAAAATTATTATTAATGATAATATTTCATCTCAGAAATGTATAAATCTTAAAACAATATAATTTTCCTGTTTTTATTCATTTTCTTTTTTTCTTTTAACTTGTAAAACTATCCATATTCATATGAGCACTAATGTTCACATTCTACCAATCAACTGTTGAGGCTTAAAACTCAACATCTTCTTATTCATACCATCTTTTTTGTTCCTCTGAGGATAATATTTCTGATATTTTGTCTCCAATTTTTGTCTTGCTTGTTTACCACAACTGTCATTATTTTTGTTGATGGGTTTCTGTTCTCTTGACGCCTACAGATAGATTCAATTTTTTTTTTTCTTTTTCTTTAATATCTTCTTTTCTCTTGTATTAAACATTCTACTACCTTTCATCCATCCCCAAACCACTCGCCACATCTTTTTTAGACCAATACCATATGTTTTGCTCTGTATCTTCCTTTCCTGTCTTTCAACAACTTTGTTCATTCCATCTGTTAACTCCTATTTTCAAAAGACCCTTAGAAAAAAATACAAGATGTTTTTATGGCGTACAAGATTTTCTGAGTTGGTAATATAAAGATGAAATGAATAAAATAGAAGATTTATTTATAAAGCCACACAAAGAAATTACTTCAGACATTCTAACGGTAGCTCTAACAATAAAAAGAATGTTTTAAAGACACCTCTTTGTACAAGACATTATGAGCCAATGAAGTGAATTCTTAGTCAGTTGAGTTAACTTTAACTAGACAGTTTCAAGAATGAAATAAAATTATAAGAATAGAGGAAGTTCATCCTCACACACAATGACTGCAATTGAAGTCATTAAGAACATCATTATCTCTTTTTATTTCGTATATAATTTCCACTTGCAGGCATCAACTGTGTATTTCTTTTTTTATTTATTTAAAAAAAAAAACTGCCATATCCTTCTGGTCATCCTTTTACAATTTTCCCCTCCCACACTATAACACAGACCATATCATTATGAAAACCACAAATAAAAAAAAACAACATAAAATGGCTTAAAATATGACCATATTTCATGGCACATAAGATCTCTCCCCATTTTTTTCTTTGAGTATGGCTAGAAGAAATCTCTCATATCTTACATGCAAAGTTGAAATATCTGGTTGACTAATGTTTACCTAGACGCCATAAACTATCAGCCTAAATCAATAATATCCTACGTGAAATTTAAATAAGAGAAAAGTTTTGTTTTAATATCAAATATTTAACTTATTTTTTTTACACTCCTGATGTGGTTCATTGATAGATCTTTTTTTAATGTAATACAATTGACAGAATATAGGAAAATATTGAAATTTTAAGTTATTAAAATGTTTGTTTTTCTTTTCTGTTTCTTCCACTAAACAAAAAATATCAACATTCATAAATGTATTGCAAGTTTCAGAAATATAGAAATGGAAAAAATTGTAATGTATTTTTTTTTAAATTCTTTCTTGGATGACGTATCATCATTATAAATTTTTGACTTGTCTGTCATCTTATTTGTATTGTTTTAACCTTTTAGTTGTAACAAATGTGATATAATATTTTATTAATTTGTCTTTCATCCTTGTTGCTTTTTTTATTGCAATGTCAACTTACTTTTACATTCTGATTGTGGGTGAATTCTGAAAAGTTGTGTGGGTGTGTGCAATGCAATAAAAATAGTTGATGTTTGGTAACATTTTTACAAATCAGGACATTAACATAAAATTAATATGTTGTTAAAATCCCTGAATTTGAAAGTTATGAAACAACTTACATCACCAAAATTTTAGTTTCAGATTATTGGATGCATTGTATTTCTTTTTCTTCTCCCTTTGCCCCAGACCCCTGCAGGACATAGGTGATCATGGCCCCATGTAGCTTCCTTCTCTTCAACATGTTTACAGTCATATCACATTGAAACACCGGTTCTCATCCAATCACTGAAGTTAAGCAACATTGAGTCTGGTCAGTAACTGGATGGGTGACCACTTGGTATTCTCAAGTGCTGTAAGCTTGGAGTTGTGGGTGGTATAATAGATAATGACTCAGAATTGAAAATCAGATAACCTGACTGAAATTGAAATTTGGCTATCACTTACATGCAAATACCATTGAGAAAGGTATGACTCTACCTCCCACCAGCTATGGGTTAGATAGTAGGATTTGTACTGGTAAAATCATTATTGTGAAAAAAAATTCTTACAATCCAAAAATATTTTCTGGCTTTAAATAACCTTCAAAAGGTTGATAAGCCACAAAATCAAATCGGTGAATGTCATCAACATTTGCTAATGTTGTTTTCAGGAAAAATAGTGGTGTAGTTTCTCATTGTATTCTATGGTTTTGAATTCAGATTTCTCCTTCTAGATGAGTTGTCAACCAATGTTAGCTCTGTTTGCCTGTTCTGCTATTTAACTCACAGCTAGATTGAAAAGAAATGGATGTGTACCCTCTCTTAAAGGGCTTTGGTGAAAAGTGGATACAAGCTAGAATTTGAACTTGCCTTGCTAGTTCCATTTTTCTGTATAGTTAACCATTGGTCATCTTGTACTTGTCTGGATGTGTTAGGGGTGTGCAAATGTTGCCAGTTTTTTATTTTATGTAAAGTGTGAATAAGCAGAGACCTGTTGAAATTAACTGTCAAAAAGACACAAGTGGTATAATTCCTCTTGAGCAGCTGGCTTTTTAATCCAGGCATATTAAAGAGGATCATTGGTAAATTTAAAATGTTAAACCCTAAAATGGAATTACCAATAAAAATAAGTTTGTTTTTTTTTGTATTGTATTTTTATTGGTAACTTATATTTTTGGTATATTTAAGTTTTGTATCATAACAAAATTCTTTAATTAATATTGATTTTAAGTTTTATATGTATGCAATTTTTCTTAAAAAAAAAAAAAAATATAGAACCTGGAAACTTTTGCACACTCCTGATATTTTGATATTGATTCTGTTTACAAAAAAATGATTCCTTGATTATTGTAACTGAAAAATTTTGACCAAGTGAAATAGTGGGTGGAAAAAAATTGTAATGTGTGAAATAATTTTCTCCATAGAAATATGGAAATCATTTGAGAAAGGAAATGAAAAATTGGGATGAAGTTTTTTTTTTTTTTCCTTTTCTTTAAACTGTGACCAAACTATTTATAAATCAAATATACACCCATGCATATAAAATAATTGCAACATTTTAGAAAAATTTAGGCATTCCCAAATAGTCCTTGCTAAATCTGGTCACCTAATCTCTTTCAAATAAATTATCTTGATATCTTGTGATAGGAAAGAATGTAGGGATGTGTGAATCCATGCCTTTCATAAAGTCTTAAGTGTAACTGAACTCAAAAGGCTTTGAATTGTCTGTTAATTCCTTTCTTCATGTAAAATGTGTTTCAAAAGTTGCATTACCATTAATAACATTGTAAATTTTATATTTATTTACCAAATGGAATCCTGTTTCTGTATGTGACAATATATTAAGAAATTTTGTTGGTCGAATTATGGAAGATGTCATACAAATTTTCCCTGGTTGTTATTTCACAAGTGTGTGCTTTCTGCCAATTGTTGCGTGACTTTTGGAATAAATATTATGCTACCTCAAAAGTAAGGGGTTCATACAAAATATTTTTACTTTTTTATATACAGATGAAAAAACTGAAATGATTTTTCTACTGATTTTCCCTCCTCTTAAGTCTGGTGATGTAGTTTCAAAGGAATCTAGCTTGTATTCAAACTGGCTTGCATCTTATGATTCATTGAGTCCAGTTGTTATTTTTCCATCAAACAGCACCAGTTTATTTGTGGTAAGAAGTGCTCAGAAGCTTTCCAGAACCCAATGGACTCTGCTAACTTTATATAATATATGGGCACATGGCTGAGTGGTTAGAATGTTCGCCTTTTGAGCATCGGACTTTGGTTGATTTGTCATGAAGGTGACTTCTTGCTCTTATCTTTCTGTGAAGGCAATCTCAGCATACAGTACATTTAAAAAGTGCCTGAAAATCACACCATAGGTTGACCCAAGGCTTGTGTGCTGGAATTGGATATACACAACTTTTTGGAAGCCACTGATGATTATGTTAGCCTGAAATCAAAAGCCATTTTGATGAAGGGTTTGAGTGCACTGCCATTGTTTAAACTGGTGATCATGCCATATGATGCACTCACTTCAAGAAACTGTAACTAAGGTATGCTCAGCATAGTTGCAGTAGTAACTATATGTGGTATCTCTTGTTGTTGAGCAACACAAATGTGCCTAAACAGGCATCTGCAACAGGGATTGGTTAGTTCCCCTAGCAGACAGGTGTGCTCAAAAAATGAGTAACCAGCCATTTTATTTATGTGTGTGTGTCTGTGTCTCTCTCAAGTAAACTAAACAATTACACAAAAATCTGAGGTTGAGGTGCTGAATATTACATGACAAATTTTATATTTGTATTGATCTCTTTCTCACACATATATATATATATATATATATATATATCTCCTGATAGTTAACACTGAACCATCAACAGATTTTTTTTTTTTTTTTTTTTTGAAAGAACATTTTTGAAAGCTCCATTGTTTTCTGAAATCAGATTTGTAATGTGGTACACAGTCACGAGTCTGGTTTTTGCAATTATTCCTATCATTTAACTCTGCCAATTTTCTCTTGAGTTTCTAAGTTCATCCTTCTTGATGGAGATTTTGAATTTGGCACCTTCCCTGGTCAATTGACACACTTTTGCTTTTTTCAGCTTGTAAACAGGAAGTGTATAGCCTTTCTATTTTCATTTATTTCATCATCTCTCATACCTTTTTTCAACCCCCCCCCCCCAAGGCAAAATTATATGCCGACATTCCAGCCTTGGGGAAATATCTTTCACTCTTCTGTTTCATATAACTCACAACCATAATTCTTTTGCCTCTTATATTCTTGTTTCATACAAATGTCAGATTTCCATTAGTGAAATGTCAGACTTAAATTCCTTGCTTATTTCTATCTAATTTCTTTTTTCTGGAAGAATTAAAAATGAGTTTTTAAAAAAAGAAAATTTTGTTCTTTTTCCTTAACATTTCACTAAGCATGCATGTTGGTCACCTTGCTATGGAGAAATGGTTACCAAGCTTGTTTTGCAGGCCTTTACAAGTTTGATCCTCAAGGGGTCATACACTTATGACTTGGGTTATCTTCTGCTTCTGTATGCTATATCTCCTCAGAACATGGGCAATCATGTCTCTCCACAGCTTCCTATTCCTAGTGGCCTTCAGTGTTTCTTCTTTTGCCAAGATTCTTGTCCTCTCCTCCCCATTCTACATCTGTTTACACAAGCACATCAACATCTATTTATACTGCTGCCTTCCCCTCCTCTCTCTTACCCTCAGTATACCCGGTGAGGATCAAGTTTTCCAAGCATTCTTTTCACATTATGTATCCAAGAAACTTTTTTTTTTCCTTTTTGCCATTTTCTTTAAGATTTTCTCATTGCTTATCCACTCCATCCATGGAATTCTCAACATCCTTCTGGAGAAATACAGTTTTGCTCCCTCCATCTTCATCTGTGGAGATATTGTCCAGCATTCACTGCCATACAGAGATTGATATCACATAGTTCAGCACTCTTTTCTTTATTTCTTAGTACTTTGTGTAAATCTTGGAATGCAACTTTCACAAATTCAATGCACATCCAAATTTCATTGTTGCATTTTTTATCTTCTGTCATAATTTGTGAAATTTAAGAACTCTTCATTAATAAAGGAGAGAAAGCAAGAGAAAAAGTTAAAAGGATAAGAAGGGACAAAAAATTAAAGTAAGAACAAGGTAAAGAGATGAAGAATTAAAGAGTGGGGTGGGATGGTAAAAGAAAGATAAATATAAGTAACATGCTTGATAGGTGAGATTATTGAGTATTTCCCACTAGCGTCAATCGTTAGCATTCTAATTCAAATAGAAACAAGGAATTTAAGTTTTTCAAGTCAAACATGCCCTCTTCACTTAGAAGCATGGATCTTTTTTTTTTTTTTTTTTTTTTTAAGTTAAAAACAATGAGAGAATGTATTTATCAAATAGTTTTTTCAAGTATTTACCTACTTCCCTGGAGTGTTAGGATGTAGCATATGGTCAAGGGTCAGAAAACTCTAACCCTCCTCATTAAATGCTGGTGGGGAGTTGGAATCCTCAGGAGCAGGCTTGTCTTGCATCATGCTTTATCCTGCTGAAAAACAAAAATGTTGTGCCATGTCCTACCTGAAATTGAGAACACAGCTAAGAAGAGAAACAGATACTCTACTCCAGTTCCCAGAATCAGATGCTCTACTCTAATCTCAGTCCAAAGTCAAAGGATATTTGATCTAAAATATTTCTTCTGTGAAAGAAATCTAGAGAAGTAAATACAATTATTTTTATGTGGATTGCTGAAGACAATATAGAAACAAATGAAAATGATTTTTAAAATGTTTAAAAAAAATAATAAACAAAATTAGAAAGATTATATTAGTCTCTACTAACCAGCAATATTATGAATTTCTTTCTCTCTTTTTCTCTCTCTTTTTTTTCTCTCTCTCTCATTTATTTATTTATTTATTCTTTTTATGTGTATATGTTAAGGATTGAGTGGGGAAGAAAGTTTGTACATTGGAATCCATAGGGTGAACTCTCTTCCCTCTTGCTCCAGTTTACACCCTCCCAACCAACACCAATGATTCCAGTAATCACATGGTTGTCCTTTCTTTGCTGTGCCTCACTAGCCCTCTGTCCATTTTGCTTCAGAATGAGATATTTCTCAGTTACATCTCCTTCCACCATACATGATGCTCATTTATTCTTGTACTGTGGTGGGTGCTCACAGTATCTAACCCCCAACCTTGAGAGGAAGAGGTGCTTCTTTGATGCTGACACATCTGGCTAGTCCTGATGCAAGCCAATGTGTACTAAGTCTTTCAGCTTGGTTGGGCTTTTTAAATTGATTAATATTATTACAACACAACTAGTTCCTCCATATTAGATTTTCTGTACAATTTCTTTGTCAGGTCAGCCATTTTGTATTTTGTTCCATTTTCTTTCTTTTCTCTCCCTCTCTTTAATGTAGTTAGTGATAGATTTTCAGGGTTGAGTGCCTTTAATAGCTCTCTCACTCTCTCTTACTTTGCACCCATCTCAAAATATTCCTGGTCCTTTCCTTGCAATTGAACATATCTAACCCCTCTGTTCTGCCACTCCCCACTTTTTTCTTTCTTGTAACTATATTTTAAGGTATGCAAAACTGCTGTAGGCAGACACAAAATGTGGTTACTGTTTGGGAAAAGGGTCAGGAAATTTTTAAGGCAACAAGGTAGAGAGTGCAGCATAATGTGCAGTGATAACAATCTCCTTCCCCTTTAGCAGACATGATAAATGAGGTAGATGTTGGGTAGGGTATCTCTTGGTTTGGGATGCTTTAGGAAGTAATTGAGGCATTAGAATGAGATGGGGGCTTGATTTTCTTTTCTTTCTTTTTCAATATTATTATTACTCATTGTGCAACATTTTTCATGTCTTGTGCAGTTGGCTGGGCATGTTTTACAGATGCATCTTAAAACCTTTCCTTTTACTCCCTCATGTCTTACTTCCTTAGATTTTTCCTTCTTTCATAAGCACTTTCTATTGTTATCTTCTCTTTCTTTCCCTTCTTAAAGCCATCTGCCTTTTAAGCTTTTTGTTCTGCTTCTCTGCCCCCCTCCCGCCAATGCCGAGGGTATCTGGCCCTTTCGACATCCCCCCCCAAGCAGTGTATCTGCCACCTTTTAAACCTCCCCCCCTCTGCAGTGTATCTGCCCCTTTTACCCTCCCCCTGCAGTGTCTGTCCTTTTACCCCCCCTGAGTGTATCTGTCTCTTCTCCCCCCCCCCCTATACAGCTGCATTTGTCTCTCTACCCCACTTTTTCTGTCCCCCCCGTCTCTCTAACCTTACTCCCACAATTGGTTCCCCTCTTCCACCCCAAGTATCTCTGTCCTTAATGCTCCTCTCCCAATCATTCTCACTAGCATCTTGATTTTACTCTTCTCACACTTTTCTCTTTTAATTCTGTCTCTCTCACACCTTCTTTTTAGCTCTTTTCTCTCCCCCACCACACTGCTTCTTGTTGCCTCTTTTCTCTTCATTCACCTAGACACCCTTTCTGTTATTGTCTCCCTTCATCCTTGAAGTCTCTCATCCTTTCTCCTTCTTTCATTGCCCATGTCACACTTGGCTCCACTGTCTATAAAGGAAGCTTTTATTTCTTCTTTATGGTTTGTTGACACTTTTTTTCCCTAGTCTTTTCTTTGCTTATTTACCTTCTCCTTTATTTCTTTTTCTTTTTTATTATTATTATTATTATCTTATCTCATCCTTTATTACATTCTTCTCTCCCTCCATCCAGTTCTTGCAGAGCAGGGTTGAAATATAAAAATGAATTTAGACTCTTTCTTTTCCCCTCTCAGCTATATCATTTAGGTTGTATCCCCTTCTTCTTGTAACCAGGACAGATCCAAATTCCTCTACTGACTGCAGCCCTCAAACTTTGTCATAAAAAGAAGACATTAAAAACATGAAATGGCTGAAGAATTTATAATGACAGATTTCTTCCTGATGGTATCTCTATTTTTGTTGCAAATATCAACCCAAAGGAAATCATTTGTTGTTACATCTTTCAATTTTATTTTTGTTCTATAACAATAAAACTGTTTTGATGTATTTTTAAGCAAATCTTGAAGCAAATACAACAAACTGTGTTTGAAGAGACATGTTATAGTGATGTTAATATGATAATAGTTGGTATTAAACTTTTATAATTAAACTAATGAAAAGTACCATTATTTACATAAATCATGATAATTCCTCATGCCAGAAATTCAGATAGAAATTAATGAAAAGTACTTGTTTTCTGAGGGTTTCGTATTTTTAATAATCCAATATTTCATACCAGATTGGATAGAAAATGTTTTATTATAAATAACAAGATCTTTTTTTTTTTAATGTTCTCTTCAACACATTTTTATAAAGCTTGTTGATTATATTTTGCAAGACTTGTTTTTTATAACTGAATTAACCAAAAAACTTGCCTGAAAATGATAGAATGAAGTTCTCAGGCAAAAGGCATAAAGAGGAAAAAAATTGCTTTCAACAAAGATGCTCCAATAAGGTAATTTATTTTTCTCCTTAATGATAAATAGATTCATTCATTTTAATGTCTATATTTTTAGATAAATTTTTAGATTCTAGTTAACTAACTCCTCTCTGGTGTTTTCTTGATGCAATAAAGTGTGGGTGGTATCACTCTGCACTCGGAAACTATCATGTGTCTTTTGAATATAAACTCTATTCCATTCCTCAGATCTTTGCTTTTGGCTGCTATCCATTCTTGCTTCACATGAACTATTTTCTTTTATTTTTATTTCAAAGTCACCCACGTCTATAATGATTGAATTGTTTTTCTCTCCATGTCTCTGTTTCAAAGATATTTATAACACACACACACACACACACACACACACACACACACACACATACATGTGTGTGTGTTTTATATACATATATAATATATGTATATAGGGAAAAGATGATGTATTTGATATGTGCATATTACATGTATAAAATAAGGTGTCTATGACCTTGGAACAATATGTAAGGGTGGTTAAATGTAACAGAATAGTCACTTTGTTGGACAAATTGTACAAGAATGTAATAATTTTTATTTTTAGGTCAGATTGACTTTTTATGCAAATCTGTTTGAAATAGACCACTGCATATAGACAACTAAATTCTGTCTCAGTGTTCCAATTCAGCAGAATCCAATCTGTTATATGACAGAATAAGATAAAGAACAAGTAGGAAATGTTTATAGATCTAACATGTTTCACTTTTATTAAAACTTCCTCAGAGAATGAAATATGAAGAAGGAAAAGAAAGAAAATTCCATTATTTTTAATATTTGTCTTGTTTGTCAAGCAGCGTTTGTGTTTATATGTATCATATTTTCAGTTTGTCTATGCAGGATTATAATGTACGTTCATTCGTGTGCATCTAGTAGGCATTTTTATGCATGTTTGTGTGTGTGTATATGTATATATATATATATATATATATACACACACACAGACCAATTATCTTTTTAAGAGCTTCTTTGTCAGACTAAGAATTTTTTAGCATTCAATCTATATATATATATATATATATATATATATATATATATAAAACAATGTGTGTGTGTGTGTGTGTGTGTGCTATTTATGCATGTCAACATTTCTTGACTAATTTTGATGAAATTGTACACACATGTTGCAAATTTATCAAGATAGGTCAAGACCAACTTTTCAATCTCCAGGCCTCCTGTTTTGGCAGAAAAATCGATAAAACTGAAGGTGGGTATGACTTTTTGCAAAAATCAAGACAAAGTTACACGCAAACAATTTTTACTGGATGAACTGATGTTCTTTGCACTTAATACGGGACATAGATCATGTTACAAGGTTTATGTAGAATGCTTGATAGTTTTCCTGCAACATTGGCTACACACAAAAAAATTGCAAAAACTGTGAAAAAAATCTGGTTTTTCGTACTACTTAAAATAAAATCATCATTTTTTTTATCCAATTTTCTTCTAACATGTCAAAAAAATTTGCCATCATGCAAGAAATAAGATAGTGTGGCTTTAGTCCCTCTCGTTTCCCCACGTATAACAAAAAACCACAAAAAACTGTTCAAAAAGCCTGTTTTGCAACCATAAATCCCTGGATTTTTATCCGATGCTTTCCAAATTTGCCATGAAAATTACATATGACACACAAATTGTCTTGTGTGACTGTTTGGTTTAGATTATTTCAGTTAAGTGGATGAAATCTGCAACAAACTGTATCCAAAATCAGCTTTTGCCATTTAGCCAATAATTTCTTCATATGACTCCATCCTAAATTGGCATTCGAACAACCTTTGATACAAAGATTGTTTGAGAAGGATTACTGAAGCGTTAAAAGGGGGAAAATTCTTGAAGAACATTTTATTAACCCCAGCTTTACAGTAAATGTACAAAGAAGAATGGGGGGGGGCGTTCATGCATTTGCAGCTGAATCAAACGCTGACACTTCATCCATGTTTTTATTTGATTATTAGATTTGTGAACAATGTCATACTATTTGAAAGTTATTATGGCGATAGGAAATTTACTGAATATCTTAAAACATTGAAACAATTTAACTCCAAGCAACAACCACACAAGAAGGTTTTATTGATCAAATTCATTTATTAAGAACAATCAAACACTTATGAAGGACACACTGTAAAAAAGATAAGGAGTAGCTCTGTATACCAACAGATGATGCATACAAGCGAGGGATGTAGGCAGACATTTCTAAATAGGGAATGTGGTTATACAATTGCAGCCATGTACACCCAGGCAACACCGGGTACCTTGGCTAGTATATAATATATAGCTCCATATTGCATGCAGTGACATATATTATGTATGGATATATACAATGAGTGTGTATACAAACTTAGAACATATGTGTTTTGTCTACTAGTTTTATTTACAGAACCTCTTGGAGAGATCTGATCCAAATCTCTTTGCAAAATAAAAATATGATTTTTTTTTCTCATGTCTTAAATACTGAGTTAAGTATATTGCAGTATACTGTGAGACTACAAAGAAGAAAAAAGATCAGGAAAGTTGAAAAACTGAAAAAAAACAACAAAAAAAACCTTTGAGAGTTATTTTTTTTTTTATTCTATGGCTAACTTTGATTAAAATCCTTGTCTTTGTTATTATCCTATTCTTAATAGTACCCATCCTTGTTGTTTTTATTCCATTTTGTATAGAATTTTCATCTTTGTTGTTTTTATTCCATTTTGAATAGAATACCCACTCTTGTTTTTATTCCATTTTGTTCAATGTGTTATTTTTGCCTTCCTCAAGTGTAATTTTGATCTTGAAGTTTTTCTCTCTTTTGGGTCCTGTTTCTAGATTTAAGAATCAAAGATTTCTGCAACCAGAATCAGTCCAGTAGTCAGTATGAATTAGACCAAAACAATATGTCTGCTAATTCTCACATTTGTTGAAAAATGCAAAAATAAAATTTTGTGATAAAACAATGGATGAAAATGCAAATCTTAATAAGTTTCAGAAAGATGCGAGAAGTTCGTCCCAGAATTTCAGATGACACTATATAAATTTTGTGATTAAATGTTCAAAAGTAATATTAGCGCTTTGAATTCTTCCATAATGATTAAGTTCTTTGGATCTGTTGCTGTTTCTTTATTTTTGTTCACAGCATTTGGTATTTATTTCATGTTTTATTTGCTATAGATATTTTTTGATGGCATAGGAATGAGATTTAACCTATGCCATAAAAAATTATAAAAAACATTTAAGGTTTTGATCTTTTGTAAATACAACACAATTACAAAATATAAACTAAAAATAATTTAAGACCTTATAAATTATAGCATCTTATGGGTCAAGTTGAAAACAACAATGAAATTCAATATATATATATATATATATATATATATATATATATATATATATATATATATAGTGGATTGCTTATTAACAATTACTGAGAGCCAAAAAACAGAGGATAATAAAAGATTCAAATAGACAGAAGATGATGATTGACATTGTATTTAAATTTCTGAGGATCATTGTTGACAGGAAGGTAAGAAGCCAAAAGTGTTCCACAGGTAAGAAGTGCAGGAGAAGAAACTATTAGAATAGAACTTTTGGTTATATCCATCAATTTCGACAGCAAAATTATGAGACCTATCTTCCAATCTAGTGCTGCACTAGAATAAGTATAAATACTGAAGAATATTAAAAAAAAAATTTACAAAGTAGTAAAATCTCCTCCCCCACAAAAGAGGGGTTTACCTTCCAGATGGATAGTTGTAGATATGGATATAAACTGATCCTCTACCTACTTTTTGGCTTGAGTGTAAACTGGTCATATCAATTTGTTGTCATTTTTGTACCATAAGGTTTTTATTTAACATTGAATAACGAATGATGGGGTGGTTGATTTAACATATTAACTCTCTGTAGTGGACTATTCTGATGACATAGAATGGTGTTATATATACACACACACACACACACACACACACACACACACCATGGCTTGATTTTGTGAATGAAGGTTGGCAATAACTTTCCACAATTGTTACAGGTCGTCCCACATTATTGGAAATCACTCTCAGGCCTGCACTAGTGGAGAATTGTGTATGCATTACTAACACACACACACACACAATTTATAAATTAAAT